GGAGCGACGGCTGGCGTCTTTGACGCTCGCGGTGTGAACGTAGCATTAGTGCTCTTCGCGCGCCTCACGGCAGCGATGCACATCGTTTGCGCATTTGCAGAGAATGTGTCCCCTTGTGGAAAATGGGGCCCCCCCATGGATCGTGGAGCCCTACGCACAGCGCGTGTTCTGCGTGTAGGGAGGGGCGGCGCTGTGTATGTGCATAACATGCAATGTCGGTATTAATATTGGACATTGTCCAGCCCTATAATATGTTACAACCATTTTTCAAATTCAGTACAAAATACCCTGCCTCAAGTTGTGATGTCATTTGGTGCCGGTACCAGTTTTTAGACCAGGCAATACAACAAAACTTGCAGTCACTTTTTATGAAAGATCTCAGTGTTTTGGTAAATGCAATTTCTGTTTGGTCCTTTTGTCCTTCCTGAGATGCTGTTTCTCATTGTCCAGGTGTGAAGGGTCCTCCCACCCACCGGCTCTCTTGTGGCCAGTCCCCCAGTTCATTGACCAGAATATGGAAGGAGAAGCTCTGCCTTCTCACTGACAGCCAGTTTATCCTGATGAACATGGAGGAAGAGGTGAGATGCTGAGCTAGCTAGTAGTGTATATCTCTCGTTCTAACATGCTAGTTTTTTTTTTATCCCAGTTCTGTTACCTGGTGGCTGCTGAAAAATCCATTTACCAGTTTATATACTGTTGCCATGAAGGTTAACACTGCTGCAGCTGATTATCAGTGATGTCTTCTGGCACTCAAAGATGGAGCTCCTTGATTAAAGTGGAGCAGTGTTTTCCATAAAAACACAGCCCACGTTTCAGTCCACTAGTTTGCATCCATCAAAGCCACGTGTCTTTCCCAAACCCTAAACCTCACCCCTAAACTCTAAGCTTGTTGTCTGCCTTACTTGGTGTCAAGTATTAATGTTTTCAGGTTTTATTATCATGCGTTCCGAGGAACACAGTGAAATTCTTATGCTACATTTGCAGGGTACAGCATCAGGGGACAAGACAGACAGTAGTGCAATATAATATGACAAGACCACTCATCAAAATGCCTTGATATTTATCACAACAGCTTAATATTCGTCTCTTTGTTAACCCTTAGAACCCGACAAACGCAAAATGTGTTAATTTTCAAAGCCATTAATCTCAGGCTCGTAAATTTCGTGTCAGGGTCAGCCCCTGTTGTCTCACTCTATGTCCCTTCCCTGTTTGGCCAGCAGGCATTGCTGGTCATCCCGTCCTTCATGTTTGTCTTTGAGTTTCCCCCTATTCTGTTGGCCTCATGGCTCAACACCTTGAGCGTCCGGTTGTCTTTGTACCTTCTGTCCTGTGTTTGAATCCCACCTCCTATTTTTGTATTTTGCTCCCTAGTGT